TTAAGTTTTTGGGGTTTTTAGGCTTTTTTTTTTTTTTTTTTTTTTTTAATTTTTTTTTTTTTTTTTTGATTGGTTTTATTTTTTAAATTTTGTTTTATTTTTATAATATTTAAGTGTTTATTTTTTTTTTTCTAAAATGTTTTATAAAAAAAAAAAAAAAATAATAATAGTCAAATAAGAACCTTATCCTTAATTTTTTTTATATTTATGATTTTTTAAACTTAAAAATTTAAATTTAATATTATTAATTTAAGGGGTTTTTCTTTTTTTTTTTTTTTAATTTTTTGTTCTTTTTTTTTTAAAAAATTTTTTTTTGTTTAAAGTTAAATACTAAAATATAATATTATAATAAAAAAATAAATCAATTTTTTTATTTAAAGAATAAGTATTTTTTTATTTATTTTTTTTTTCTCTTTCTTTTTTTTTTATCTTTTATTCTTTAATTCTAAATTTTAAATAATAATATATTTTTTTTAAAATTCAAAAATCCTTTTTTGTTTTTTTTTTCTTTATTTTTAAAGAGAAAGAGGGGGGTAAGAATTCGTTTTTATTTTTATTAAAAACCCTCGGTTAAAAAAAAATTTTAAAAAAGGGGTTAATTAATACCACCTTAAAAGAAGGGGGGGGCTATATCCCGATAATAAAAAAGAAAGATTAATCATATCCAGTAAAGAAGTGCCAATTAAGGGAACAACTTTTACAGCCTAGTTGGGATCGGGTCTAACAGACAGGTTGATGGCTTCGATGAAGAAATGATTGAAGTTAACTGATGAAGGACTCAACAACAAAAAAAAAATAAAAAAAATATTTTTATTTTATTATAAGAAAAGCCCTTATTTTGGGAGAGCCACTGATAACTGTAGATGGCAGTTGGGGATTATTTTTTCTCTAATAGTAATAATTTTATTATAGAAGAAGCTCATGAAGTCATTGCTACTTAAGTTTATGGGGATATGTGGCTCGATAGAGTTGACACTCCTCTATCAGCCTGGCTACAGTGCTGAAGAGGAACCTAGGGTTGTTCTTATTTTCTTCTATTAGTGCTGAGTAATAGGCTCCTCTGGCATTACGGAGGGCCTTTCTATAAATCTTAAGATCATCTTGCCAATTTGAGCGATATTCTGATAATTTGGAAGAGCGCCATTTCCTTTCAGATTTCTAGCTATTTGCTTTAACTGGCGGGTTTGGTGGTTATACCAAGGTGCTAGTCTCCTATGTTTTAATAATTTCCTTTTTATAGGAGCGATAGAGTCTAATGTTGATCGTAGTGAGCCTGTAGCACTATCGACAAGATTATCAATTTCAGAGGGACTAAAGTTGTTATAGGACTCTGTTAAATTCAGACATGGCATTGAATTAAACACTGAAGGAATCTCCTCCTTAAATTTAGCTACAGCACTGTCAAAAAAAAATCTGCTGTAGGAAGTTTTCCCTAATGGCTTATAATCTAATAGTATGAATTCAAAAGTTACTAAATAATGGTCAGATAGGAAAGGATTATGTGGGAAGACTATTAAATGTTCAATATCAATGCCATATGATAAAACAAGGTCAAGAGTGTGATTAAAACAATGAGTTGGTTTATTTACACTCTGACAGAAGCCAATTGAGTCTATTAATGATATAAATGCATTACTAAGGCTGTCATTGTCAACATCCACATGAATATTAAAATCACCTACAATAATTACTTTATCTGATTTAAGGACTAAGCTTGATAGAAACTCTGAAAATTCAGATATAAAATCAGAGTACGGTCCAGGAGCGCGGTACACTATAACAAATAGAACTGGCTGCAGTGTTTTCCAGTTTGGGTGAGAAAGACTAAGAACAAGGCTTTCAAATGAATTATAATTTAGTTTAGGTTTAGGGTCCATTAAAACGCTCGAATCATATATAGCTGCTACTCCACCTCCTCGGCCTGTGCCTCGAGGAAAATAAGAAAATTAATAAGGGGGGGGGGGGGGTTTTATTTAAATAAAAATCTTCTTGGTGGGACAAATCGGGTTAAGAAAAAGAAAGTAAATCAATATCATAATCTGATATTAATTCATTCACTAGAACAGCTTTAGAGGACAGAGACCTGATATTTAACAGCCCACATTTCATTCTCTTATTTTGTGCTACTGAGGAGTTGGTTTTAATTTTTATTAGATTTTTATGTTGAACTCCTCTTGTTTTTATTTCTTTAAATAGTTTAGGTGGTCGGGGGGGGGGCCCCGGCCGCTTTGGGGGGGGGGGGGGGGACGTATTTTAAAAAAAGCAGAGGGGAGGGGGTAAGACAGCAGCTTGGCTTCCTGGTCCTAACTCTGGACTGTCAGGTTTTAGAAATAAACTTCGCCATATTTCTAGATAAGAGAGCCGCTCCATCCAAAGTGGGATGGATGCCGTCTCTCCTAATCAACCCCGGGTTTCCCCCAAAAGGCTTCCAGTTATCAATGAAGCCCACATCGTTTGCTGGACACCACCTCAGCCAGCGGTGGAATGACGACATGCGGCTATACATGTCATCACTGGTCACATTGGGGAGGGGTCCAGAGAAAACTACGGTGTCCGACATTGTCTTAGCATAGTTACAATTATTTCATTTAATTCTGAGGGACGGGCGGTTGTCCTCACCGCCTCTTCGTGACCTGCGGATAACAATCTTACTGTATTTACGTTTATCTTTAGCCAGCAGTTTTAAATTTGATTCAATGTCGCCCGCTCTGGCCCCAGGGATGCATTTAACTATGGGCCGCTGTCCCCTAATTCACGTTTTTGACTATGGAGCTGCCAATAACCCTTTATTTTCCCCCTAACAGAGCCACCAATTAACAAGTTGGTTCCTCAGCGGGTGTAGCGCTGCCTAGAGGGGAAAATGTATTAGAAACGTGAAGCGGTTGGTG